CCGCCGAAAAACATCGGGTAGAACATCTCAGCTTCCGGCCTGTTAAACGCGACCCCCGAATCAAACACGATCCAATCGGGCTTTGTCGTCAAGCTCTCCGGCCCAACCCAGGTCCTTTTACGGGCCTCATCGGCCCACATCTCTATCGGGCCCAAAAAAGCCGTGGCCGCTGCGGGGAAAGTAGTAAGCATAACGGACTTGATCCCCAGCTCCCTAGCGATTGGGCCGGCCCAATGAGGAGCGAAGTCGTAGATAATCCAATCAGGAGATGACTCCGTTAGGAACTGGCGGAGGGGGGAGGAGAGGAGGTCGTAGGCGGCTTTGAGGAGGTGCGTTTGGTCAGTGGGGAGGTCGGCGGTGGAGTCGGCGGCAGCGTTTGCTAAGGAGATGGAGAGCTGGAGGAAGGGGATTAAGTGGCCAAAGGCCAGCCATGGGAATATTGCTATGTGAAGGGTTTTATTGTTGTTGGTGTCGTCCATGAGGGGGGGTGGTGTTGGTATGGGATTGAGAGAGGTGAAGGTGATTAAGTGGTGGAGGGAATGGAGGTGTATTTATTGAGGGCAGTGGAGACGAGTCTTGTGTTTTTTTTGTAGGAAGTGGTGATGCCATTCGAGACCCTGTTCTTCTTGTTTTGTGTGTGATGCTGCCGGCCTTCAGACGCCTGTTATTAATAATTAGTGCTAAAACTTGGCTACGTCACTAATTATGATGCAATTATATTAATTTGAGGATAGGAGCAAATTAAAATGCTGGTCTCTATTAGAGCATCTCCAACAGTTTCCTCAAAAATTCCTTTAAAATCGGGAAGCAAAAGTCATATTCTTCAAATTATTTTTGCTCAAACTCCAACAGCTTCCCCATTTTGAAGAATCCTGTATTTATTACAATAATAAAAATATTCTACATCCCTATTTTGGGATGCTCTTTATGCATTGGAATTGCCCCCATGGCTTTTTTTGTAATTACGAATTTTGTTTTGTATTTATTTTCTCATCCATCCTGTTTTGAAGAATGTGCTGCATTTATGACAAAGCTCTCCCCAAAATTTTGCAGAATGCTTCAGATTTGGGGAAGACTCTCTATTTTTTCTTCCCTATCCCTATTTTGGGGAATGAGATGGGGAATCTGTTGGACAAAAAAAAAGACCAAAATTCTCTAAAAGTGAGAATATCAATAAAATGGGGAAGCTGTTGGAGATGCTCTTACTCTTCAACTGTATATTTTCTACTTCAAATTAAATCAAACGTGCAAAGTCTCCTTCATTTTAAAACTATCTCCCTCTCCAGGTGTTGAACAAGAGGAGATATATATATCTTTATTCATTCCCTAAATCATCCATATTTTTTTTAAAATACCCGTCACATCTTAATATGTATTGAATGCCTTCCAAATCTTCAAAATCGAGCTAGTATGCGCAATAAGGGGGAAATTCCTTCATTTTTTTTTTCAAGTCATGCGGGCATACTGACTCAATACTGAAGATTTAGGAGGGATTTTAATAGATGTTCAGATTTGAAGAGTATTTTAATACAAATATCAATATTTAAGGGCAATTTAATAAATATGATTGAATTTTTTCTCAAAGTAAGTAAATAAAAAAGATTGATTTGGGGCATATAGCTAAAATACCCAAAAATGTGACGTAGATATGCAAATTAATTACATTAAAGAGTATATAGATAAAAAAAATCAAGACGAATGTTCTATAAGTATCAAAAACTGATTTCATGGTTTAAATCTTAAAATTATAGCATTTTATAGCTATTGCGTACCTCTCTGTATTTTTCTTTTTCTTTTTCTTTTCCCTCTCGACGTATGTAAAAGAAAATCAGATGTCACACTTCATTACGTTATTAAGGGGGTATTTGTTTCAAAATTTTTTGGCATTTGGGTGGGATTTCAAATTCTAGGATCAAAAAGTGAGTTTTTTTGAGTTTTAGAATTCCATAAAACTTGTTTGTTTCTGTGAACGCGCATATGGGGACAGTCTGGCAAATGACATCTCTGTAAACGGGTAAAAGCCAAGGTCCAGCGGGTAAAAGCCAAGGCCCAAGTCCTTCCTATAAATATCCGGTCTCTCTCTAGGGTTTGCTGTTGTGTGGGGAAAATCGCAAAAGTCAGAGGGTTTTTTTGTTTCTTTCTGGCGGCTGAGCAGAGGAAATTGCGGCAATTGTTGAGAGAGAAAAAGAGAGATCTTAAGGAGAGAAAAAGAGAGATTTTACAAGAGAGAGGTCAATTTCTTTTGGGTATAAAAACCAGATCTTTTTTTCTTTAAGACGAGCTTGTGGATTGTACAAGTCGTCGGTGTTCTCCTAGAAGTGGAATCTCCCCTCACCCCTCCCGTGGACGTAGGCAATTTTGCCGAACCACGTAAATCTCGTGTCTTTATTGTTTTCTGGGTGTTGGCTCTTGCTTGTAGGTTCCCTCGACATTTTAGTCCTAGAACTGATGAGAGGAAGAGTGCATATTTCACTTTGTTAAAATATTTTACTTTCTATTCTAGTTTCATTTGAGAAACAAGAATATAGAGGTTGACTTGTGTTTTTGTGATAACAAAAGCCAAGACTTTCTCTCAGGTGATATCGCTTCCGCGGCGGTGAGCGTGACTCTGCGCCTAACAGTTTCAAAACAAATTTTAGAATATCAAATCCCCAAATAATAAAAAAGTATTATATTTAAGGATTTGTGAAATCCTCTTTTTTGGGTGGGATGTGGGGTGGATTTCAAAAGTGTTAGACAAATTAAGGATTTCAAATTCCAAAAAATTTGAAACAAACAAAAATATTACAAATTATAGTATTCCAAATCTTAAAATATTGTTGAAACAAACAAAGTTTTAGGAATCCCAACCCACAACAAATTACCTATGGATTTCAAATCCCATTGTGAAATCCATATCCTAAAATTATAGGATTTGAAACAAACACCCCCTAACTATATTAGACAAAGGTAGCAGCCTAAGTTGACATGCGTAGTCATCAAACATAGTGCTTGATAATTAATGTTTGTTTGCATGTGTAGTTGTAGAAGTACAGTTTGAGTTTAGCCATTTCTTAAATCCGCAAGTGAAAGAGACACCCAAGAGGCTGCTGACCCAATTAATGAGACGAGAGTCTCCATAATCTTCGTCTCGTAGCATTAATAGAGCCAAAATTAAGGATAGTGACACAAATAATGTTTGCTTTTACAAAAAAAAGCTGACGTGGTATTGATGCAGGATGTCACCGAATTGCCCACCTCATTTGCAACGAGGAGACAGTGGTAAGAAGATAGCGCAATAAATTACCATTTTTTATTTAAAATTTTCTATGGGTCCATGTATGAAAATTTTTCACGTTAAAGCGAGAAAGTATCCACTAGATCAAATTCGTGGAACTAGTGATGCTTCGAACAATAAGAATTTTTAGGTTCGTGTAAAAGAAAAATATTAAAAAGAATTTGCAAATACTTAGTACTATTGATCCAAGAATTCTGGCCTTTAGCCTCGTTGGTTAATCTTTGTCAAACTTTAAAAAAGCTATGGATAAAGTAAATTGCGCCAATTCGTCTCTATTTACCAAAAGTAGAATTGTATAGAAAGTTTCAATAATTCATCTGATGTAACTACCACATAATTGATCTATTGCAGCGGTTAAGACGCAACAGTTTTAGCTGTTGCGTTGATATCTTTCGTAACGGTTTGCAGTGCCTATTACAACATTTAATAAAAAACATTGCCATAGGCCAAATAATTATTCATGGGCTTAATAATTGTTCGTGGGTTTTGGGAGCATAAGTTTTTAAAGCCCATGGTCTGACCGCTTAAACGAAATCTCTCTCTCTCTCTCTCTCTCTCTCTCTCTCTCTCTCTCAAATGAAATCCCTAAAATCGCCGCCCAATTTCCCGCTCCCTAAAATCGTCGTGACCAAGATCATCATATAATCGTTGATCTCATCATTGAACTCGTCGCTGTAGTCATTCAAAAATGCCAAAACTCAAAATGTGAAAAGGAGGGTCAGGAAAACGAACCCCTTCTCAATCAGAAACGAGGTTCGTTGTTTAGAAAAGATCAACCTCGAGAACGAGAGTCGCCACGTAGCAGAGCTCAATATCAAAAGATAAAGTTCATTATTGAATAGAACGAATCTACGAGACTCGAAACTCGTCATTGGATACGAGGTTCGAGGTTCACTAGTGGATACGAGACTCGGAGCTCGTCATTAGATACGAGGTTCGAGGTTCATTGGTGAATACGGGGTTCAAAGCTCGTCATTAGACACGAGGTTCAAAACTCATTGCTAGACATGAAACTCATTAGTGAAGATGAGGCTCGTCAAAAGGGAACTTACAAGACTTACTACGTAGTTGGACTCAGCTGTCGAAGATGGAGTTCGTTAGTGAAAGCGAGGTTCGTCAGACGAAGTCAGTGAAGACAATTCGTCAGGAGAAACTGGTCTACTGCAAGGTTTGCTTGGTAAGACGAACCTCAAGGCTCGTCTTACTTGACGAACTCCATTTCAATTAAGGTCGAAGTTCGTCATCCGCATGGGATTTACCTATAATGGCTCCGAAGACTTAGTCAGCCACGTGGGCTAATCTTCAGGAGCACGTTACGACGTGCGCTGATTTGGAGGAGGCAGTTACGCCCCTCTACCCGTGATTGTAGCACGTCAGTTACGTGCTTAAACCCTATAAATAGCCATGGATGGCTACAGAGAAAGGGGTGTGGATTAATTGAGACTTTTAATCATCAAAAATCAGAGCTTTTGCTTGCAAATCCGGAGTTCGAATTTTGATTCCAGCTAGTGAACGAAGGTCAGAAGCTCTTGTGATCTTGGTCTGATCGTCAACGGGAGGCAATCTTGACTCAAGCATCAGAGGAAGCATCCTTTCGCCACCTAGAACCCACCTTAAACAAAAGAGAAGCTGAATTAATCTTCTCTTCCTCTGTAATCGAGAGATTGTGAGTGATTATAAGGGTTTCGTACCAAGTGATCGAACCCATTTCTTAAAACAAGAGAATCAATCAATCCTTAAATTTTTCGACCCTACAGACGATGGCGACCACAGTAGGAGCAGCTATTCTCTCCGACGAGATGGTGGTGGCGTAATCAGACAAGATTGCCGTGGGAACGGACGTCGAGACTCTAGTCATCGAATTTGACCAGTCCAAATATGAGGATTTTCTTTCCTCTGGTAAGTCTAGTCCCACGAAGACACGTAAATGTCGTCGAGTCTCGTATAAGACCTCAGCCCAAGTGGCTCCTGATGATTTAACTCGAGTTAATCTCGAGGAAAAGTCCAAGCCCCTCAAAGAGGAGGCTCTAGAAACTAGCCGTCAGGCTAAGAAATAGGTTGTTAAGCAACCTAGCCGAACTTCGGCTTCTACTAGCCAAATTATGGCTTTTGAGAACGAACCTCGTCCACCTTCGGTTGAGACAAAGGTTTCTACTAGTTCATTATCGAGACGCGCTCGATAACGTCAGCGTCAGAACCAAGCTCACCGCAGGGCTCGAGCTTTGGTCTCGCTAGACGGTTTTCATTATCGACCGAAGGTTAATCAACCTAAGGTCAACAAGTCTGACGAGGGTCAGGTGAATGAGGAACGTCCAAATGACGGATCTCACCCTTGTACCCGAGTAGGTTCCGACAACGTCAGCAGTTTCAACAAGCGGTTCATACTGACGTTCGTGAAGAAAATGAACTTCAGGTTAAGAGCCAACTGAGAAGGCACAAGCGCCGAGCTCGTTCTACCAACGAATGTCG